ATTTCGTTTCAATTCTGAACATGGGACTTACGGTTGCCAGATGTATGGAAACAGACACAGAAAGGTAACAAGTTAAGTTATTTTATGATATTTTTAACAGTCTTCGAAGGAGGGGCTGTTTTTGCATTGTTGTAGGCGTAACATGATTGTGTTTAAATTTCTAGACAATTATGACAAACATGATCAATACGTATTGTAATCGTAGGTGACGATATCCGAATGTGAATCGAAAAATAAGAAAACATGTCTTAAAACAGTTGAAAACTGACAGTACAAAGAATAACAAAATAATTGAAATTTTACTTTTATTTTTGATTATTAATAATAACAATAATAATAATAATATCTTTATTACAAACAGGTAGAAAATTAGGCCATACATTGACTGTTCATTTTTCCATTGACTGTTTTAGTCCATATAATTTTTATATTAATATATAACGAAGAATTCTGTTACCATTATGTAACCTTTATTATCATTACAAATCATTTAGACAATGGTTATCGGACATAGGTTATCGGACATTAAAAGCATATAATAAGTGGTCTTCACAGAGTTAATAAAGGAAAGGGAAATACAATTGTAAAGTAATTTGTCAAGGGCAATAATTTTAAAATAATTTATTGAAAATCGCAAAAACTGTAACCGCTTGAGACTTTGTCAATAAAGATATTAGCCTACAAAGTTTCAACAAAATATGATCAATACTAGCAATTATATTAAATGTGAACAAATGTCAATCTAAATATTGGATTATAAGGTGTATACTCCTAGACTGTTCAAGCTAGTACTAAAAAGGAAGGATGATTGTCTGAACAATATATCGGGGGTCTCAAAAAACGTCTATATAATTAAAATTAAAACTTAAAAAGACAACTGAAAGTAGTCTCTACTTTTCAAAAAACAAAGGCACACATTCTTTTACCATTTAAGAAGGGTCGTACGTTTATCAGCATCTAACACTTGAACCAACAAGCGACCAAATTTGATTTGATATTGAATTATATGGAGTTTTACACCATACATATTACGTGGTCCAATAGGACACGCAGTTTGCAATAAGGTACCTTTACCGGGACAGTGACATTAGCGTACTCCTATTCAATTTCCAACTACTTAGGGCCTCTCATTCGGCACAACCGTCGTCAATGTTCTTTAGTTTCCTTGAGTTGAAAACTAGCACGTTCGTCCCGAAAATGAAACAAGTGAGGACCTACAGTTGCCCGTTTTTATACGCCAATATGGAAATGTGAACGTTTATTGCCGTCGCCCCTGTCTGTCGATCCGCCCGTCCGTCTACATTTCTTGTTGGCGCGATAGAGGCTACAGTTTTTAAACAATCATGATGAAACTTGGTATTCACGTTTATATTCATGAGACCTCGGTCAAGTTCGAAATTGGTTATACTCAGATGAACGGTTTTAGAGTTATTGCCCTTGACTTAGTAAAAACGTGTCAAATTTATTTGATCTCGATGAAACAAGGTATGCATGTATATATTGATGGGATCTCAATCAAGTTTGAAATTGGTAATAATTGGATCAATGGTTTCAGAGTTATTGCCCTTGACTTATTAAACGGTGTCAAATATGGCTTGTAGGCACGATAGAGACTACAGGTTTTATCTGATCTTGATGAAACTTGGTATGCATGTGTATATTGATGGGATCTCAGTCAAGTTCGAAATTAGTATTATCGGATGAATCGTTCAGAGTTGTTGCCCTTGATTTTGATTATAATCGGGTGAACAGTTTTAGAGTTGTCGTCCTTGTGTGTACTGTAGCGATGAGACTTTTTATTACTTCATAAAGTTTACATTGTATTATTGAGTCTGCATATGGCTGTTAAATGGCCACAGCACAGAAGTAGTCCAAAAATACGGATAATCGACAGTAATAACGCCGAACACGTTTGGAACAATTTTGAATAATCTTCAAAGTATTTAAGCATGGAAAAATTGTAATAGCAAGTTCAATAAAACTTGAAGGGAATGTGTACCTTTATAGTAACAGAGGGTGTTAAAAACGAAAGGACACAACTTTCAAGAAAGATTGACCCCCTTCCGCTGCATTCCGAGATACAAGAAGGGTGAACGGAATTCATTTGCATTAAATTTGAATTTTAACAAAAAATTACAATGATTTCAGTGGTTTTTGACGTTGGTAATGCCAGAACTTTCTTAATTTCACTTTTAACCAGAAATTGTCGCATAGGGGGCCAAATAACTTAATGGTGGTAAAAGTACAGTCAATTAGCCGTAATGAGTTTACTGTGTAATTATGGTAAACAATTTCAGCTCACTTTCCCCCAACTCGTGAATACATTTTTTCTTAGTGTGTCAACACTGACAGTATTGGTGTGGAGAAGAAGGTAAGGTTTTATACAATCTAATCAATCAAATATAGTTATTATAGTTCTTCTCAAATTTTGACAGGTTTTAATTTAAGAAACGACTGCAAGGAAGAGGACGTTTAGGCTATATTTTGAAGAACAAAAAAAAAATTCGCACCAACCGGAAGTGATGCAAAATTTTTGATGGTGTCAATTTGTTTTCTGTTGTAATCTGTTTTGGCACCAGAAATTTCAAATGCATGCATAGCCGAGAAAATAGAAAATTTGGTCAAATTTTGCGAAATTCGACTAAAAAATGTGTGCTATGAATTTTCAAAATTCGAACTGCTAGCACATAGGATATTCGTGCGAAATTCTTCAACTCAAAACCCGAGCAAAATCGCTCCAAAATTGCGCCTTCCAGAGTCAATTATCTACTTTTTGCACATTTTGCAATGTGCCACTATCCGTCTTGCAAAATTGTTCCAATTTATATTCATTTGTTAAAACACCGAATATGCAGATCCAATGCATTGCTAATCTTGCTGTAGGCTAACTATTACCGTTTCTGCAGAGTACTCATCACAAACTCATAATTTTTTTGAAAGTACGAAAACAAGGCAGGGCGTTCCAAACGCCCTACAATAACGCAATCGTAGAGTAGAGTTTACATGTATATTGAAAATTCTAAGAACACATCAAAAGAGAAAAAGTCCTGAACGATTGTTGGACTAAATTTATATCATTACTTTGAAAAAATAAGAAAAAGTACTGAACAGATTTAAATACTTTGATATCATAATAATAGATGAACATTTTGATATGAATATTAAGTGGGGTTGGAATTTGTCAACTTGGTATCTTGATCGTTGAGTCCATATTCTCATTACTAGCTCTGCTATGCATTCTTCACACTATTAGCACTTAGTTCTTTGAACCGAGTTTCCCTTATTTTGTAATATTATAGTGAAGATAGTCGAGCTCTAAACTTAGTTAAACAGTCACACAAAGTCTTTGTTTTATACTGCCCATTTGAAGTAATGAGGAATTTCGTTTTAAACTGGTGTGGTTTATTTGATCAGATTATTGACTATACAAACTAGTAACATGAACTTTTCTTTCTCAGATCATGTTACCTGTGTCCATGCATTTTAAAAGTGTCTCGAGCCCTATATTAGTAATAACGTTTACACGTTAACTTATTATATTAACTTGAACACACGGTAAAAACTCGTACATATGTCCTTTTAAACTTTTCTCTCGAATCAGTCAATTGTGAGTGTAAGTAAAGATGGTCGATATCGTCACAAAATAGATGGATAAAACACGGTTGATGCTTTTAATTTTTTTATTTATTTATTTCTTAAAAAAATATAGATGTTAATATTTATTGCTATTTCTATTAACTTGCGGCTGATGATGACTTTTCGATATACTAGATGTTAATACCGAGTGTGTATAGATAAAATTTCGTGAAATATTTTCCTATAGGTGCCGTTCAACAGAAGTTAGGTGAATTTGTGAATACACTTTTATTAAATCTTTAGCTAACTACCCACAAAAAAATGAAAATTTTTGAAATTGGTTTTCAATTCAAGAACAGGTTTTGATATGAGGCCATGGAAAATAACATTAGAAAAACATCCATTGTAGCGAATAACAATAATGTCAGACAGTTTCGTATATCGACAAACATATTATTACATCTAAAATATTATACAAACAATTAAAATGCATTGTGCCCCCCGCATAGCATACCAGCTGTCGGCGTCAATGTGTCGTTGATGTGGGAAAGGCGTTTAGCCTATTTGTGCGTGTTGCCTACAAACTCAATGTTAAACAAAATTATCGTGTAGCCTACCGTGAGTTATTAACAAAAAGGTTCATTTCTTTTAATCATTTGAATGAATATAAGTTCCATGATGCTCAAATATTACTAGATATTGATTAGGATAGCTCATTACGTTACACCCTGATGACTATCACCATATCATATTATTACCACCGGTCTCTATAGAACGCTCTATATAGTACAAGGTAAGCAGACTGACATATTTTCAACCATATTCCTGTTCAAATATTCTGACCAGAACAAAGCATTTTAGCTTTTAATTGTTTTAAAAATAAAGAGTTATTAGATCTTAAATGATCGTTTCGAAAATATATCTTGAACCATTAAGTATTGTAGTATTTTGACTATTTTATATGAGAGGCATTTTTGCGGAAATGTTTCATTTGAAAAAGAAAGAATTGTAACTAAACCTGCTTTGCTGTTTTCTATTCTAGATTAATTCTTTCGCTTCAAAATATCAATCGAAACATTTAACCTTCTTGTGGCAATAGCAAAACGATTATTAGACAGTTAATGCAAAAAACTTGCGCAATGACGTGGTACATCCACTATTAGTGAAACTTTAGTCATGATTGTATTCGAGTTTAAATTCATTATAGCCCATGGTTGAATGTTTTAAGACATGGAAATGACATAATAATTTAAGAATAAATCAGACTATCTTTAAACAATTCTTTGATATATTTCAGAGAGGTCAATTACCAAAAACTCAACATATAGTATTTTGGAAAAAATAAAAGAATCAATTTAGATATGACGTATAAAAATAATTCATTTTAAATACCATTGTGTAATAACAAAAATACTAGAAGCAAAATGGTGTCTATTTCGAGAGAATCGTTGGTGTTGGTCAACGATAGGCTGCAGGCAGGATTGACCGATGACGAAAGAGTATTTTTGATGGCAGCCGAAATGGGTGATTTGGAAACAGTGACCCGAATGTTGGATTCGGGTGTCGTGTCGGTAAATTGTGTTGATCAACAGGGCCGAACGGCTTTAGAATTGGCGGTAGTTGCTAATGATGAAGGTTTAGTCGCCTACCTCTTGGACAAGGTTCCCGAGAGAGTTGTTCACAGGGCTTTGTTATGTGCAGCAGAAGATGACAGAGAACAACTATGTGAACTTATACTACAACATCCATTATATAGTAAAGCAAAAATTCTAGATCCAACTCAAGATATTCCTTCTGTGGATACATCTGTTCTTGGTTTACTACGAGACGGACTGTTGCGTGCCGCGAAGCACAACGATTTTCAAATTGTGAAAATGTTTATGACCCGTGGTGTAGCTCTAGAAAAGCCCCACAATTACTTTTGCAATTGTACTATTTGTACCGAAGGAAGGAGCAAAGACTACAAAGTCTATTCAAAAACCAGACTTGATACATTTACAGCAATAGCTAGTCCGGCCTATATATGTTTCACTGAAGACGACCCTTTGCTGGCTTCATTTAACTTAAGTGTGTTGTTTCGGAACCTGGCAGAGCTCGAGGGCGAATCAAAGGTAAGAGATATCGCAACATTGCATCCCTAAACCATTCATGTTATACATGTGGGAATTTATATCATTAGTAATATCGCCTGCAGATTAAAAATACCGAAATATCGTCATATCGTTATATATGTAGTTATCATATATCGTCAAATTTTTGTCCAGATAAGATCATCTACACAATTTTGAAAAGTAACTAAATATTTGAAACTTATGTTGGTTTATTTTCATGATATTAAAGACTGGGTCGTTTTTTAAGCNTGTATATTGCATTTTTACATTAACATTTTTTGTTTC